GGAGGAGGAGGCTGGATGGATGAATGAGGAAGTGGGGAGAAGGAAGATGAATCGGATGAGGAGGAGGGGGAGGAGGAAGAGAAGGAGTAGGAGAAGGAAGGAGGAGCAGGAGGAGGAGGAGGGCGAGCAAAAGGGCCAGAGGTCTCTTGGATGCCTCTCGGAGCCTCTTGGGGTATCTCTTGGGGGCTTCTTGGTGGCCTCTTGGGACGCCTTGGGGGTGTCTTGGCGGTCCTGGGGGGCTCTTGGGCGTCTTGGGTGCCACGGGGGGGCCTCTTGGGGCCTCTTGGGGTCAGCTTGGGGTCATCTTGGGGGCCTCCTGGGGGCCTCTTGGGGCCATCTTGGGGCCATCTTGGGGCCATCTTGGGGCCTCTTGGGGCTTCCTGGGCGCTTCTCGGGGCCATCTTGGAGGACATATATCAACGATGGGGATGGTCGCAATTCGCGTTGCCGCGGACACACGGCCAAAATGGGGCCAAAACCTGCGTAAAACCAATGATTTCGGCTTCCGTAAACCCCGACGGGGAAGAGGGAGGGGTGGAAGAGGAAACTCCTTAAACCACCTGCGCCCAGAGGGCTGGTGGGATTTAGCGACAAAGAATTGTCTGGGTATGTCTAGCATGGGCAGTCATGTTTCTTTTTGGTGCGGGGCCGATCATCACGCAACCAAAGATAGCTGCGCATCGCGGGGCGCTGCGTGCGAACTCCTGCGACTTGGAAGCATGCTGCGCTGCAGGCCCTCGCGGCTCCGGATCGGGAGAACCCCGAACTGCCTGCCGGCCGTCGCGGGCAGAGCCCGGCTCTGGAGAGCGCCTCCGGCGCGAGGGGGCTCTGGATCGAGGCCCCCGGGCGGCGGTCGCAACGAGTTGTGCGGACCGTCAACGAGCTGCACGGTCGGGGAGGCCGAGCGCGCCTGCGCGATCGGGACGCGGCAGGGTACGTGCGCGTGGGCGATGGTGGCCCATGCGAGGGGCCGACGTCCGCCCAAGCCCGACCGCGACGCGGTGGCGGTCCGCCTCTGGCGCGAGGGCTCTGACCGAGGCGCCGGGCGGCGCGTCGCTGGCGATCGCAGCTCTTCGTCCTCGCGCTTCTGCGGCAGGGGCAATCTTGGGCCGGTTGGGATCGTGGCGTCAGGATGGAACAGAGGCGGCACAGCGAAAGAATAGCCGACTTGGGCGCCGTGGCCACCACACGTCAGACCTGGGTGAGCGCAGCAGGAGAAGGGAAACAGAGCGGCAGTGGAAAAGAAGAAGGTCCCGCACGGGTATGAAGTATACGCTCAGATGGAAGGGGGTGATGGAGGTGATCATGATCATGGTGGAGGCTCCTCCTCCTCCTCATCATCCCCCTCGTCCTTTTCCTCCTCTTCCTCCTCCTCTTCCTCATCTGTTATTGATAATTTTACGTCGAGCGAACATAAGCTGGGCAGCTGTTGCGTATGTGCGATAGCAAAGAAGTCCGACTTAAGCCACAGCACGCAGCGGTGAGAAGACAAGCAAAGAGAGCGTGAAAAGAAGGGTAGCCTGGCATCCTCCTCCTCTTCCTCCTCGCTCCTCTTTCTTCCCCCCCTTCTCCTCCAGAGCGTCAGACGGTGAAGTGAAGGCCAAGGCGAGATTCGGAGTGAAAAATCTAGAAACCCCACAAGCGTAAAACTGTTAGAGATCCGCGCGGATTTCTTCGGTCGGCGCTAGACCCCCCGCGCAGCGCGCCAGGGGGAGGCCTGCACCGAATCCGCGCAGACCTGCGAAAGTTCATGCTGATTCAGCATTTCTAACGTTGTACTCTCGCCCGGCCTTCCTCGCCCCCTCGCCCGAACAGCCCTGGAGACATCCGACGACATGACGTGTTCAGTACGCGGCCCCAGGGGTCCCGACCCCTTCCCCGGGGCCAGCTGTTCGCCCCGGATCCATCTCTAAAGGGCCCCGGGGCCCCAGAGCATGGGCCCCAGAGCCCGAACACGAGGAAGAGCGCCGGGATTGAACAAAAACGAGTGTCGTCGGTGCTGCGAGTTCTCGGGTCGTGGCTCGGACCTCCGGCGGCCTTGCGGGACGATCCCGGCACCCCAGAGCGCCCTCGGCGAGGCGCAGCTGTTGGGAATCACCCCGAGGCGAGAAGACCTGCAGTGCAGGAAAACGGCGAGAACGTCCGAACTGTTCCAGGAACGTCGTATTGTGACGAGGAGGAGGAGGAGGAGGAGGAGGAGGAAGAGGAGGAGGACGAGGACGAGGAGGAGGAGGAGGAGGAGGAGGAGGAGGAGGAGGAGGAGGAGGAGGAGGAGGAAGGAGGAAGGAGGAAAGGAGGAAAGGAGGAACGTCAGAAAAATGGGATCGGGACGATATCGGATCAGAGGTTTGGGGTCTCCCTCTTCGTCCTCCTCCTGCGCCCCGCCACTTTGGCCCAAGCCATTTTGACGCGCGCCGCTGTCGCCCCGGCTCCCTCGAGCGCGTAGACCATCGTCCGCAGGATGCCGGGGGGATCGCCACCACCACGCCTGTCAGGGGCAACGTTCGGTGATGGGCTCGGGTTGGCGGCGCGCAAAGCGGGGTAGGGGCGGGAGGAGAAGGCTTCTTAGAAGGAGGCCGCTTCTTAGAAGCCGCGGGCCTTGCATCTACAGACAAGGCCCGCGTCGCCCAAGAAGCAGCCTCCTTCTAAGAAGCCTTCCCCCCTCCCCCCTACCCCCCCTCTGCGCGCCGCCAACCAGGGGGGAACACATCCACCCCCAACCGCCCATGGATCGAGTCTTGCCTTTCTGAGGGCTTCTCATCGTCCTGGGGCGCCGTCGCAGCCACGGCTGAATTCGCGTCGAAAGCATGGTCAGAAGGGTGCCCTTGAAGAAGTCCACAGATCGGTTCCCAGGAGTGCTCGTCGGTTCTGAGTCGGGTCTCGCTGGCCCTCCGGCCTCGAGATGCCCTCGGGCGGCCTCGCCTCGCCGAGGGTGTTCCGGGGGGTGGCCTGGATCGTCCCGAACGGCCGCCAGAGGCCTCCTCCTCCTCCTCCTCCTCCTCCTCCACCTCCTCCTCCTCCTCCTCCTCCTCCTATTCCTCCTCCTCCTCCTCCTCCTCCTCCTCCTCCTCCTCCTCCTCCTCCGGGACCAGCTTTTCGTCCCAGGTCGTTTTGGGACAGTCCTGGAGCCCGCCCGGCGAGGGCCATTGGAGGCCAAGAATGGCGAGCAACAGTCCCGTCGTGATCTTCTCGCAACGCGAGGAGGTCGGGGAAGACGGAACCCTGACTCCGAATCCGCCACACGTTGGTTGCGTTTCTGGTTGAAATTGTGTTGGAAATGCGCCCCAAACGATGTGAAAAAAGTAGATCGGAAATTTCCGCCGACTCGAAAACAGAGTAGGGCGGCTATTTCTGCAAAACGATGGCAGAAACGGCGACGGGCTGTAATCGACATCGAAGGAGCTTGAGAAGTAGTGCGGGAATCTCCGCCCTACATGCGGAATCGCTCAGAAGTACGGCGGATCCGAAGTCAGGAGAGGTGGTGGGGATAGACCGAAGGGTTCTTCTGGACGAGCACACGCTTGCGCTGGCGCACGCTCTGAGGGTCGTCGGCCGATGCTGTGCTGCGCCCCCCCCGAGCCGACCCAGGCGGAGCAGGTCCCCGGGCCAGCCGCCGAGCCCGCGTCCGCTCCAGCGGACGAGGCCACCTGACCTCGATCATGAATCCGTCGTATTGTGACGACGAGGAGGAGGAGGAGAGGGAGGAGGAGGAGGAAGAGGACGAGGACGAGGAGGAGGAGGAGGAGGAGGAGGAGGAACGGAGGAAAGGAGGAAAAGAAGTGCGGAGGAACGGAGGAGCAAAGGAGGAAAGGAGGAAAAGAGGAAAGGAGGAAAGTGAGGAGGAGGAGGAGGAGGAGGAAAGAAGGAGGAGGAGGAGGAGGGGGAGGAGGAGGAGGAGGAGGAGGAGGAGTATTTTGGCATCGACAAAGCAGCCCACGTACACCCTGAGTGTTGGGCGAGTCCACGCAGAGGTCGCTCCTTGGCGAAAGAGACAAAACAACCATCATTGTTATGGCCTGCAGAGTCTGTAATTAATCAGAGCCCGACTCCGACCCTTGGGGTTGATGGGGCAGACTGACCACCGCAGCACCACCTGTCGCGGCTTCGTCAGCCCCGAGGGCCGAGGAGGCCCCTCGCATGGCAGCTGCAGGATCGGGCACTGGAACGACATCGCTCGCTTCTCTGCTGGCGTGCGGGTCGAGACCAGGCGCAAAGGTCGGAGCGGCAGGCGAATCGACGATCCGCAGGGACTTGTCTGCCCTCGGATATTTACATGCCAGGACTTTCTTGAAATTAGTGCGCCCGTGCCTGCTTAGCTGGCCCAGGCACTTGCTGGACAAATTGCTCTTGGCCAGTGCTCCGTGATGGATGAACGCACAGCACCGCAGGCACAGGAGACAGTCAGAGCCGCCTGGCACATGGAACAACGCAGGTTTGTGCTGGTCATTCCCCGCCTCATCTAAATCTAGCTGAGACGAGCCGAGACAATTGCCAGGCCCAGGTTTCGCCACGGACCTGGACCCTAAACGACAAACAGTGCAACGCCACATTCCACCGAAAAATTGCCAAGTGTGCTGTGGGTGAAAAACGAAAGCCTTAGACTCCAGGCGCCAGAAATTCAACACCATCGAGCTTCAATCGCGGCCACTGCGGGAGGAGTTGGGCAGCAAGCAAGCAGACAGCGCGGGCGGCGGCGATATGGTTCGTCGGCTGCTCCACTTCAGCGTCAGAAGGCTCAGGGTGTGCGCTGGCCCCCGCTTGAGCAGTAGCATCAGCATGGCCGTTTCCGGGACGCCTGAAACATTCGTTCTCGTCAAGTTCTGGCTCCTCTGGATCAAGGTGGGCCCGCACGCTCTCCCAAAAGCCGATGGGCTTGCACGGATTGAGCCTCTGGCTGGGAGGCAGGTTGCAGCGACTGACTACCGCTTGGCAGTCAGAACAAGTCACGCTGGACTCTCCTAGCTGCGGCGCCGCCTGCGCAAGCGCCGTAAACTCCGCAGCGGGTGCCGTCTGGAGAAAGGGCGACAGAGCAGGTCCAACAATCGAGCACTCTCGATCCCCAGTCGACGATACCTGGACTATCCCCCATCCAGCCCTCGAAAGTTCTGGTATCGGATGTCCGGACATACTGCCGTCTACAGAGATCCTACCGCCGATCAATTCATCAGCGAATGCCACGTGTGAACAAAATCTCTTCCTCCTTCGACAGGTGACCACAGGCACGCTGGATCATATCAGCCTTCACCAGCTCCTCCCTCTCCTCCCTGACTGCCTCACAGCACCACAGCCTCTGCTGCGGAGTGCCGACTGTCTGCATACAGAGAGGGCAAAGAAGCTGCCCGTCATCTAACATGTATCCAAGAGCCTGTGCACGTGAAGCCGTCCAGCAGCCCCCGCAGGCCAGATTTCGAATGGTGCCTTTTTCGATGGGAGTGTAGCGCTTCCGTCGAGTTTCGGCCTTGACAATGTCGAAACAAGCTCGGTCCCAGGACACCTCCAGTTGTTTGGCGATCGATTCCTCCAGCTCCCGAACAACAGCACGAAGAAGTAAATCCTTTACGAGCGTAGGGCTGATGAAGGTCAGTTGGATCGCAGCACCTTTGTGATCTACAAGTGTGGCAAACTCGCACATGCTCCAGCCCAACCTATGCACAGGCAAGTACATCGCACTAATATGTCCTCGAACGTGCCGCCAAGTGGTGGGAGGAGCATTATATTCAAATACAGATGCCCAGAGCCGCCGCAGCACAGGCATACTGAACGAAAAGGCAAAGTATCTGCATTGTGCCGCCCAGGCCTCCGTACTCCATCTGACTATGGGTGCAACCATACCGTAGCAGCAAGGTTCATCCTCAACGACAAGAGCCGAGGAAAGGGAACGCCCCCCGCAAGATGAACGCAAGCATTTGCCCGCTTGCTGCCTGATGCGGCCTACCTCGAAATTGCCGAGCCCATGAACTTCAGCTCCGTAGCACAGTCCAGGCAAAGGTCAACTGCAAGCAATCCTCTTTGCCGAGCGTCCGAGAATGTGTTGCTGTCGTTTGATGCGCTCTACCTTGACCTTGGACACTCTCTCCCTCTGCTCAAGCTTGACCGCTCGCCCTCTCGCCCTACTCCCTCCCCCCGCCGTGTCATCAATCCCTTGGTTGGCAGCAGTCGAGAAATCTGGACTGGGCCCCGCCACAGAGCCCAACCATTCAGAGAGAAGCTTGCCTAGTGAAGGGTCGCTGGCCACCAAATTCTCCTTGTCGGGTGAACTCACACTCTTCAGGTCGTTGGTGACCGCTACGTGAACAGCAGCCGTGGCCGCGTTCAAGTCCTCACGAGGCCCTTGGAACGTGCCAGTGCTGGAAATTCCTATGTCGCCTGTGAAGAGGTCCAGACTGACCGAGGTCCCCACGGAACAGTTCATGAAGGTGTTCGTGTAGCACATCCTCACATTAGTAGCCAGGCTGCACTCCGCAGTGACCCCACGGAACGCCAGGTACGGGCCCGCCAGGAACCCAGTGATGTGAATACATTTGGCACTCCTGCATGTTGCTAAAGATACCTTGACCGCCGTAAGAGGGAAACCACCTTCGGTACACCTAGCCTCTCAGTCGTTCAAATCCACCAGTTCGTAGAATTTACACATGTCCCGCAAGACGGTCGCCGCATAGCCTCCGCCACTGGTGGAACGGTCAGATCTAGCCGTTTGACGCCACACCACGTCGTTCGCATTTCTGAAACCACTTCCTGGAAACAACTTGCCTGATGAGCCTCCTCCCACTCTTGCGCGATAGATCTCCGAACCTTCCCCCACATCCTATACACATAAGTGAACATGCCGATAGGCCTCAGGCCTCCCATCGGCTTCGGCAACATCGCAAGCATCGCCAATCGAATCTGGATCGGGAGAGTCGACCTCATCTCGATAATCGCGCGATCATGTACGACACCACTTCGAGTCCTTCACCACATAACAGACGAAACTGCTTCATGTGAAATCCATCTACGCTAACAGCTGACCGCTGCTTGTACGAACGACTGGCCAGGCGAATCGCATCGGCAGACGCACGAGGAAGGGGCTCCCTTGGCTCGAAGTCAACACAGAGGTTGTAGTCGGAACGCTCCACACCCTCCGTAGCAAGCCACAGAGCTTTGAACTTCAAACCTTCGGCCTTCAATAACGATAACGTATCTGTCAGCACCTGACCCGATGGTGAGAGTGTCGAAGAAGGAGCCCATGCTTTTACAGGCTTAGACCAGGCGTGAGCCGTGCGAGCTCCCTGGTCAATATCCTTTAGAAGCCACTCATCCCAAGACCGATCAGCGAGAGACTTAGCATCCGTAGCAGCGGCCCGACAGGAATCATCGATCCGCACAGAAAAACTGTAGCGGCCCTCGAAGAACTGGCCGTCCATCGCGATGAATGCACAAACTTCCAAGTACAGCTGCTGATAATTGCTGCGAGCAAGGTAGTCGCGAATGAAAGGATTGGGCGAGCAAATCGTGTTCTGAACCTTCCTCCTCTCATACACTCCTTTGCCCCCGCACGCAACTGCATCCACCGCAGTCTGAAATTCTGGTTTAACCAACGCATGCAGAAAAGAACTGGGTGACGGCCAGGACGCTTGTCTCGTCTGCGTATATCAACCCACCAGAGCTGCGGGGCTTCCCCTCGACATCCCGTTTTTGGCAGTTGAGTCTGAAGGGCCCCCTCGAGTTCAAGCTCGGCCGTGTTAGCCCAGGCTCTGTAGAGCCCGTCCAACTCAGGAAAAGCCTTTCGAGAACCACGTCTGGCACAATCGAAACCCCCTTCAGCAAGCTTCAACACTGGCTGCCAATCACGTGGCGCAGGAGCTGGCCCTACAGGTTGCTCCGGCGGCAGCGGCGGGGGCTTGCGGAAAGAGAGAACTTGCAACTCAGCTAGCAGCTCGGGAAAAAAGTCAATTCCATTGGGTAGTGCGGTGCAACGTTGGCCATACGATTGTCATTCACACAGCAAATGCCTTTTGCTAACCCACTGGAGACCAGGAAGTAGTCCAGGACCCTGCAACCCGCGGAAGACACACAAGTCCCAGAGTTCGTGCAAACCAGCTGGGCCTCTAGGGCCTCCACGTACTGACAGGTCCCAAGGGTACTAGGCGCCATGTGAAAATCCCCTGCTATCATGTACGAAGACATACAAGAACTAGCAGTCGCTCCCACACTAGCTAAGATGTCAGTTTGCTCCCCTCCCCCTCCCCCCGCGGATCCCCCCAGTCCTCCGTGGCCCGCAGTGCAGCACGCGGGCCCCAGTGCCCGTCACTCAACTTGTCAATACAATGCAGGTAGCAGCTGATGAGAAGAATCGGATCTCCCCGACCAGCATGCATCCACGCTGCAATGGCTCTGTGGTTACACCACCTTTGCACCTCCGACGGGCTCCTGCAAGCCCAAGAAATTCCTGGCCAGCACCGCCACACCACCTGAGGTGTACTGGTCACTCATATCACTCGTCACCTTAGCTGGTTCGAAGAAGCCTTTCCAGCCCATCCTGAGAAGCCATTGCTGGGCCTCAGCGATCTGGGGCTCCTTAAGGTGATGTTCCTGCAACACGACAGCATGCGCCGCAGTCGTCGGCAGCCACTCCTCGGCTGACGACCACGGCCGTGCAGTTG